TCTCCGCTCTCAAGGGAGGACGGTGTTTTTCGATGTACAGTTTAGGTAATATTTCGTTTCTAAACGATATTACTATGCCCGCCGTGTATCCTTGACCTTTCGCGGCACTGGACGGGCGCGCGCCCACGAACGTCATCGGCGAGAGCAGCGAGGTGCATGCGATTTCGCGCGAGGACTTTCGGCGCGAGGCTTGCGTAACCAAAAGAATTATGCCCGACGCGTGCGGGAACACGCGGCGCGTTAATTGATGTCCGTGTGTAGCGCGAATAACTGCCTTCTCTCAGCTCTCTCGAAATACCTGCCTGCCTCTGCTCGCCCGCTCTTCGACGTATGCACGTACGGACATAACGGATCGGTGTTTTGCAAGGAAAATATGCGAGGAACGCGTTGCCAAACGGCGATATCGCGCAGCGGCGCGGTAAACATTCTTCCTGGCAAGTCGACGGGAAGATGGAGATTTTTTGTTCTCTTCCGTAAATTCAAGGAACGCTCTGAGCAGCGAAATATGATTTTCGACTCCCGTCGGAGTGGACGAACGTTATCGTCGCGGGGATCCTTTCGCGAATTAATTACTCAACGGTCACGAGCAAGCAGTCATGTTACAGTCACGAGCAGGCAGTCACGTTATAGTCACGAGCAGGTAGCTCGATGCCGTTTCTTGCACTGAAAGAATTTTACTAAAAGTTGCTAGAATTTTGTAACCGGAATAAATCGACATTCTACAGTAATTCACTATTTTTTCAATAAAATATTGTTTTAATAACTCGAGTATTCGTTTCAATTGCCATTGAATCGGGAAGATTTATTCCAAGTACGCTGTTGACTAATTTTATTGATTCAACGGATTTTTTCTTTGGATGGCATTACGCTGTTTGGATTCTGCGGCGAGACACTAGTCTCAACCAACGATACCGCGATAAACTGTTCGATTGGATTACGGGCTGAGGTAACAATAATTAAGTGCGGAACGCGGAACGATAAGGATCAATTATATAAAATAGAGCCTCTCGTGGCCGACAATGCGGCATATTGTTATCGATTAGCAACAGGTTGCGGGTTATCGTGCCGTTCTGATCTACAAATGGATCAGATTGCGTCGGAAGCAGCCAATTCATGGAACACTTAAATCGAACTTGGTCTATAAAGAGCTGTTGAATAAGTTCAAAGGGTACGCGAAAATAGGCGATTCCTCGTGCACTGAAATCACGTCGATTTCTCGTGAATTATGCAGTAGTGTGAAAGAGAGAAAGAAACAAATTCAACACCTAAAATGTGCAATATCAATACATTGTTGTTTTTGTACAAAAAATTCTCTATTAAAAATGTCAATTTTGAAGCCACATTAATCATCCTGCAGCTACACGGAGAGATATGTGTACGTAGATTTGGCAGTAACTTAACTAGTCGATCCTTAATCCTTTGTGAGTGGTTCACATGACACTCACATGATATATTTATCATATAGAGCGACGAAATCAAAATACGAAAGAATGATGAAAATTTCCCCAAAACAATATGCCGTGTAAAATATAATATGACAATTTGATGATAACTTTTAGTAAATCTGTTGCTGCATCAATGCAAAATTCACGTTATTATATATGATGTAAATTTCACGATTGATTCAATATGTTGGGAGTACAAATTAGTTCGGTCCGTTTTCAAAAGATGGCTCTGGCTGTTATGAATGTTTGATAGTGACAGCTGATTTCGGTGGTTTCAAAGAGGTTAGACATCTGTCAATAATATTCAGTTTATATTTGAGTTTCATACAAAACCCCTGTTTTTTACTGTGTTGAATATGTCAAATTTTGTGTTAACTAAGCAGCATTTGCGGGAGGTTTTAGTTTTCTGCTTTAATTGGAAGAAAAGTGCAGCTGAAGCGCATCGAATGCTTGTAGAAGTTTATGGTGACAATGCTCCAACTGATAAATCATGTAGGGAATGGTTTCGACGTTTCAAGAATGGTGATTTCAGCGTTGAAGACAAGCCTCGCTCTGGACAGCCAAAAAAATTCGAAGACAAAGAATTGGAGGCTACAACCTGGCGATTCCATTACGGGCCATCGGTATAGGCTACAATTGATTCGTTTGAGCCGTGCATTACGAGAAAAACGGCCGGAATACGAGCAAAGACATGACAAAGTTATTCTTCTGCATGATAACGCTCGGCCTCATGTCGCAAAAGTCGTAAAAAATTATTTGGAAACGCTCAAGTGGGATATTTTACCGCACCCGCCGTATTCGCCGGACATTGCTCCTTTTGATTACTGGTTGTTCCGACGGATGCAGCACGATTTGGCAGGTCACCGGTTCACTTCTTTCGCAGAAATCGAAAATTGGCTCCTAACTTGGATCGCCTCAAAAGACGAGACATTTTTTCGAGATGGAATTCGAGAATTGCCTGAGAGGTGGGAAAAAGTAGTAGCCAGCGATGGACAATACTTTGATTAATCTGTTCATTTATTTTGTTCTGAAATAAATGCATTTTTGACCACAAAAAACGGACCGAACTAATTTGTACTCCCAATAATATACATATGTGCTTCGGTCGCTGTTCGAGGCTTCCATTAGGAAAATCAAGACATTTATAATGTGTTAACATTTTTCTGAAACATCTATTTTTTTAATTAGCGCGTAAGTTTAAGAACCAATTCAATACGCGCGCGCGCGCGATATATATCTGGCTTACAAGTATAATTTAAAAAATCGTAAGGTTTCTTTCTATCATCGGCTGTCCCACGTCGACGTGTCGTCGATGTTTCAAAATTGACATTCTCAACGCGATATATACTAGAGACAACAAGGTATTGTCACTACGCATTTTAAGTACCGCGTACGCAATAACACGGAATTACAAAATCATGCTCTTGCGAAGTCTGTCTGACTCATTCCTCAATGTCGTGTTAGAATTGAAACGCGAGTAAATCTTTGAAAGGCACACGCAAGACAAGTTTTTTCGAGAACAACAGACACATCACCGTCTCTTTCTCTTCGCTTTTTTTTCTTCTTTTTATGAATTTCTGTCATCAGAATCTTGCATTTAAATATTCCCTCATCGAACGACCGATGTGAGCGTTCCCATCGTGCGTCATTCTCGAGACATGATTTATAAGTGACATTTATCGCGTTTTCTTTTTCTCCTGCTTCTTTCCGCGACAGTTCCTTGTCGTCGTCGTCGTTGGGGAATCGACCAAGTCTCGAATTGGATCGCCGATGTCGGCGGCTGCGGTTTCGAGAATTATGCTAATTCGGTAGTGGCCATTCAAGGCGGCGACCTTGGTCGGCCGAAAATAACTTAGGGACGGCCGATCGCTCGACTTAAACTCGCGGGAACGTGACAGCGTGGACGATGACGGAGAGAGACGAGAAGTAGACGAAGAAGAAGGTTAACCGAGCATCGGCGACGCATCTGTTCCGCAGCTGTCAACCGTCAATTAAGCATCGAGGACGGGTGTAGTGGACGCGTCGGGCGATTGCAAAATACGTATGAGCGACAGAGCGTAAGCCGGCGACGAGGACGACGGCGCCCGTCGTCGTCGGCGCGCTCTCGCGCAGCGTGAAAACTCGCGCGGGTCAGCGCGCGGGGCACGCGGGGCGCGGCGAGCTATAAATCATCCCGCGTCGTTGTTGCATCATCGCGGGATTAAAGCATCGCCACCCATTAAAGCAGGCCATCAACCGCCGCATTGTATCGAACGACGACGACGACGGCGGCGGCGACGGCGGTGGTTCGACGCGCTCGTTGAATATGCACGCGTCTAGTGTCGTATAGACATTCCACAGCCACCGCAGCGAGAACGGGCCGGGTTCTGCGCGATGTTCTTTATAGTCAGCAAATTTCTCCGGACGAAAACTCTCGCTCAAAGCGAGGGAATTCGCACGAAACGACTGGAAATGGCCGCGAATGAATGTTTAACGCCGCTGATTGCCGCGCTGATTTCCATCGATTGGACAAAAGCGCGACCGGTAATTGCGTTACTGAAGATACGGTGATGTGGATGTAATTTCAGGTGTCTTTTGTCTCGTTTCATTGGCTCTTTTCATTGCTCGTGCAATCGTCCGTGATGTTGTACACTGCGGGAAGCAAAATGTCGATTTTATGTCCTGAAAATTACATTCCAAATTTTCTGTGAAAATAACTCATTCGTCGTGTGTCACTTGTTGATAGAATGCAAATATTAATTAACTCACACACGATCTGTTTTTACATTTGTTTGTTGTTTTGAGTTTAAGCACGATTGTAAGAATTTCATGTCTCAGAAAGTCCATTCTAAGTTTTAAGTGAAAATAACTCACTCGTTGTGTCGATAAACTCAAATATTAATCAATTGATACTTACACATTCTGTTTTCACACTTGTCTTTAAGCGATGTAAGGATCTTTGTGTTGGAACATTACACATATATGAAATGTTCAGCACAATGTAGGAATTTCATGTTCCAGAAAGTTCACTCAAAATTTTAAGTAAAATGGCAAATTTTTCGTGTTACTTGTCGATAAATTACAAATATTGGTTAATTAACATTCACATTCCGTTTTTACATTTTCTTGTTTTAACTTTAAGCATGATGTAAAAATTTCGATGTTAATTTTAATTTTTATGCATGCTAATGTATTAAATATTTGGAAAATCGTATTAAAATACACTTTTGTTTACGTGTTCATATTATAATAAAAACGTTCCGTCAACATTTCTTACAAGTTATTAGCTACTGTTCCGCGTATTTATGCATTCTGTTTTTGTTATTTTTACATCGTACTTGGACTAAAGTAAAAACAACGAGCATAAATATAAAAATGCAATGTGTGAGTCAATTGATTAACATTTTTGTTCACCGCCACAGCGAATGAGTTATTTTTAACCTTCTACTGCCCAACTCTGAAGTCACAATTCAGTTTCATCATTATTAATTTCCAATATAAATGTTGTTCCTGTCTCGACCGATGTGACGTGGCTACCTTTTTTTTAGTATATTGGCAGCGATAGTATAGTAGTAATTTTATTTGTGAAATATAAAGTTTATTTTTGTGTGATTAAATGACTAACTTTATATAAATAAATTTTAAAGTACCTTTTTTTCAGTGCAAGACAAAATCGACGAATGCAATGTTATCAATGCGAGAATATTTTTTATTTCGCTTCTGCCGTTATGCAAATTTGTCGCGATAATGTTATCTCTTCTCTCTTCTCTGATTCAATTTTGCTCGGGAAAGTTTCGAAGGTACACGAGCGATTAAAATTTAGAAAGATCTTCGGCGCCACACCGGCATATAGAGGAAGAAAAATAGAGAAAGAGAGGAGTTTTTTGCGTTACATCGAGAAAAAATATTTAAAAATTTTTTTGTGAGGGATATCAAGTTTATTCCTCTCTCTCTCTCTCTCTTTGCGAATAAACTTTATATATTTCATAAATAAATTTTTAAATACCCTTTTTTCAGTGCAAATTCGGCGAGTGCAATATTATTAATGAGAAAATTTTTTTATTTCGCTCCTTCCGTTATGTAAATTTATCGAGAACGTTATTTCTTCTTTCTCCCCCATTCCAATTTCACTCAAAAAAGGTATACAATGATTGAAATTGGAAAAATCTTTGACGGCACGAGACATGTGTAGAGAAAGAAAAAGAGAGAAAGACTTGCGTTACACATTCAGAAAAAAAACACTTGAAAATTTATTTGTATAATAAAGTTTATTTTTTCTGTGAATAAACTTTATATCTCACAAATAAACTTTTGAGTGTTTTTTTTCTGTAACGTAAGCAAGTCTTTCTTTCTCTTTCCTTCTTTACATGTCTCGTGCCACTTTTTCTCAGTGCAGAGCGAAATCGACGAATGCAATGTTATTAATGCGAGAATATTTTTTTATTTCTCTCCTCTCATTACGCAAATTTTTCGCGATAACGTTATCCTCTCTCTTTCCCTCCCTTTCTTTTCCATTTGTCGAGAATATTTCTCTTTTCGCTCCGCCGGGGTGCAATTTGGGGATCGACGCACGTGGAATTTCGTAAATTCGTCGCAAATTATTCGTCACGGGTGCTCGTCGGGCGCTACGCGGCAAGCGTGACGGCAACGACGCGTCGGGGAAATGCACAGGTAACGAGCCGGAATGATAAACTGTTACACGCGGCAGTGCAGGAAAGAGAATGCGTTATTAAGATGATAAACGCGCGCACGACAATAACGCGTGGCGGCGATTAACTGGCGCGGCGGCTCCGCGCGCGCATACCTGCATTTTATTGCCAGCGTTTGTTTACGCGTAGGTATGCGCAACGGATGGCATAGCTGTGCATACCTACGCACTCGTTGCGCGCATTGCCTGTCTTCATGCGTGCATGCATGCATGCGTGAGTGAGTGCGTGCGTGCGTGCGTCGCGACCATGTGAAAGTGAATGGTACCACCGTCGGCGGCACGCCGATGCGTACAGCTATGGGCGAGCAAAAAGGTCGTCGAAGGACGCGGCGAGAACTCTCTCGGTCTCTCCTTTGTCCGACAGCCCGCTCGACTTCGTCTGCGGACACGAATTTGCGAGATATGGACAATTAAGTTTAATCTACAATGTGCTCTTTGCTTCCTGTTTCTTGTTCTGTCTTTTTTTAGTTTGAAGCCTGATCTACAATATGTTCTTTGCTTCCTGCTTCTTGATCTCTTTTTGACTTAAACCTTCAGCTTTAAGCGAGAAATAGGTAGAAGGCAAGAAACAGAAGGCAAAGAGCATATTGTAGATCAGGCTTAAGGTGTGAGTCAGAAAAAAAAGTCAGATAAAGAAAAAAAAAACAAGAAGCAAATAACACATTGTAAATCAAGTTTTAAGCTTCGTGAGAACATCTGATTCCTAAGTATCTCGCGTGAACAGTGTACGACTCACATTTGCTCGCGAAACAATTCGGACACGACGCAGCAAGAAGCGCGCGAAATCGTCGCGATTGAGAACCACTATTGGCGAGGCTTGCGCAATAATCGGTTATGGCAGGAACCGAAGTGACGCTGTAAATATTGGTTTTTTTCTTACGCTCTTGTCTGATAGATAAGAATACAATAGAAGCGCTTGGGAGAAAGTATTATGGTTTCTCTTCATGTAAGTCCTTTGCAATTTTATTGTACTTCCGCAGCAGCACAGGAATGGAGTGTCAGAGAGATCTGTCTTGTTCTGAGGAACAAGTCTCTGAGAAATGTAACAAATTTCGCTGGAAACATGACAGATCTTTCGAATAGCGCATTTCACAGATTCTGAAATATAAATGGCACATGTGAAAAATGGAAGGATAATAAATTTCCGTAATACCTTTCATTCCTCGATTACAAAATTCTATAGTAATTAAGGAGAGAAAGGCGCTGTTGATATCCAATCGAATAAATCAGTTTCTGAAATGTAAACAACGCATGTGAGAAACGAAAAGATAATAAATCAGAATGTCGATCTATTCGTCGGTTACAAAATCTTATATACTAACGAAATTTAAGAAGAGAGAAAGGCTCCGCTGATACTCGATCAATTAAATCACTTTCCGAAATATAAAATAGCGCATGTGAGAAATGAAAGGATAACACATCATTGCAGAATGTCAATCTATTCCTCGGTTACAAAATCCTGTAGTAATTAAAATTGAGAAGAGAAAGGCTTCGTTGATATACAGTCATGTAAATATATACAGAGCCTTCAAGAGTTAATTACTTGATTATATACTGCACTACTATACGTTCGTATATAGACAGGCTCTTGTAAAGGCCCTTTACATTTATTTTATAGTAAGATAAAGGTACAAAGGACATGTACAGGTACCTAATCCTGGACATCTTTTTGTTTTGGTCTTTAAATACAAATATTTAAACTTTATACATAAAATATATATACAAATATTGAGTATGTAACTACATTCTATGTTAAAAGTTTAAATATTCGTATTTAAAGAAATAATAAAAATATTCAGGATTAGATGTCTGGGAATTGGTATCTTTACCTTAAATTTTACTGTAAAATTCTGTCCGTGAATGTTTTTTCTGAGTTATCCGTTGCAGTTGTAATGCCGTACGTCCCGTATACTGTGAATTCGCTCTTATCACAACCAATGACTGCGCAAGCCCATCAGAAATGCAGAAAGCGTGGATTAGATACAGAGTGTAGAACAAATTTGTGTAGAATTTCAACCGTCTGACTTTCACCGGCCGAAATCAATTAGATATAAGAGACGAGGAGACGTGTTTCTACCGAAAATCACAGAATGCTCGTTGGTTATCGAAATCGATTATGAAATACTTTTCTGATTCAATCAGAAACGTTCTTACCGATTTACCGCAAGAGATCAAGTAATCGATCACGACAGGAACCGAAATGACAAATACATGATGTAAATGTTGCCTCTTTATTCTACATTTATTTTATTTGTTAGATAAGAATATAACATCAAGATACTCACGTTTTTCCCTCCGTGGCAGTTGTGACACATAGGACGTCTCATGTATCGTCACTTTTGTCAAGACGAATTGACGCGCTCCTGATCTTGTTTGAACACGCGAATTCAATTTATTGCTAATAATAGCCGAGCGCCTCTATTGGTGCGCGAAATAAATAATAATAACATAAGTGGGCCGTGAATCTATAATTGAAGACATTATGTTCTCATAACGTATACTTCGACTATAAATCGTACATTATGAGAATATAAATAACTGTTCTTAGTTATAATACTTCTGGGGACTATTTATATTTCATTTTATATTTTATCGATTATGTAAATATATATAATTATCGGTCTAATTATTTGTTTCAGTATGTATAAGTATTAAGTATATATAATTATCGGTCTAATTATTTGTTTCAGTATATATAAATATTAAGTACATATAATTATCGGTTTAATCATTATTATTTATTTCACGCGACAATATCAGCGTGCGACTCTTATCAGCGCTGAGTCAAATTTGCCTTTGCATTTAGAGCCTTCATCTAAAGCGCTGTTTACAATGAGCATTTAAGTCATAAGACTTAAACTTTAAGCCTTAAGTAATTAAGTAATCACAGTCATATATGAGAAGAACAATCAACTTAGTCGGTTTCTTAAGACTTGACCTTTTGTAGGGCAAAACTTTTTTTTCAAGGTGACTGTAATGTCTATTACAAGTTTACATAATATATCTAGATACGTGACAAATATGTGAAATATAAGAAACCTTCTAATATTTATTATTATTATTATTGCTTGACAAAATATCGACCACAATCCAGTCAGGGCAAGTGCTTAGTCATTCAGTTTTGGTCAATATCACTTGTAAAAATTTGTTTTTTTATTAAAATATTTGTAAAAATTTAAACTCTTTGTACAAACGCAAAAAATGTTTATTTGCACTAATATTATGTATTTGCAGTTACACTCATGTGAGAAAAATTACAAAGATGTTAATTTATGTTGCATATTACAAGTAGATATACTTTCATTTTTTGAGCAGTACTTTTTATGGCAACCATACTTGCATGGTTATGTATGTAGATCTGTTTTCTATTACATATCATCTGTATAACGTATGGTTATACAGACGATATGTAAAACCGCATGGTCAAATATTTAGTATAAAACAACACAGATCTTGAACTTTAAGTGGGGTGGTTAAAATATCGTCCACAAACTTATAAAGGGTTCAGGTTTAAAAAGCTTAAGTCTGATGGCTCAAGTTCTCATTATAGACGCCGTTTAATTCAAAGGACTCCGCACAAATCTTGGAAACTGAATTTCGGTCGAATTGGCTGAAGATTCTTTCTATTGCTTTTTACAAAAAGCAAGCTATTTTTTTCTCAGTGCATAAGTTCTAGTCGCGAGAACTGGGACGACCTGCATAAACTTATGAAATACTCGAAACAAAAAATGCAGCACGTACTTTTCTTGCGCATACGTGCGCTACTAACGTTCTTGTAAATATCGCAAATATAAAAATAAATCAGTGTGTGCCTTAGATTTCGCATATGCTGGCGTGCATTTGCACGAGCGTGCATCGCGGAATGCATCGCGCCCATCTCTCGGCGCCGATCTCGCGGGGTCGTTTAAAGCAATAAGATATTGTATTAGCCTGTTTTGAAAAATGACGCCTCGTAGAGGTCAAACGGTTCATTATAGGGGGTCGTACTTGGAGACTTTTTATCAGGGCGACAAGATCTACAACATATCAAATCTTCAGCCGAATTCGACCGAAATTCAATTCCCATAAGGTTTGTGCGAGGTCCTTTGTTCATCTGGGGAACGAATGTGTGCAAGTCGTTTCGCAAGCGAGTGCACGCATTTTACTATTCCGTCGAAAGTGAGTGCTCACGCGACTCACGTTTCGCGAAACTGCAGCCGCACGTGGAAATCTTTGTCTCGGCGGGACTGATCGCGGCGCGCGGCCATGATCGCGCGAGATGGGATCGCGAGAATTCGATCGGCAAATGAATCGCGCGCCTCGCTCGCACGCATGCACGTGCGCGCTCGCGAACGTGAAAGTAAACGCGCGCATGAGCGAGCGAGCGAGCGCGCCAGGTGGTAGGCAGTAAGGTCGATGAAGGACGCCTTGCGTGGATCTCGGGCACGGCTGCGCAGGTCTCCTCGAGGCAGGCCGGATCTCGGCCTGGATCGAAATCACGGATCCAGCCGGAGATATCGTCGGCGCGACGCGACGCGACGTCGCGGAATTTTAAACGACCCCGCGAGATCGGCGCCGAGAGATGGGCGCGATGCATTCCGCGATGCACGCTCGTGCAAATGCACGCCAGCATATGCGAAATCTAAGGCACACACTGATTTATTTTTATATTTGCGATATTTATATACAAGAACGTTAGTAGCGCACGTATGCGCAAGAAAAGTACGTGCTGCATTTTTTGTTTCGAGTATTTCATAAGTTTATGCAGGTCGTCCCAGTTCTCGCGACTAGAACTTATGCACTGAGAAAAAAATATTTAAAAATTAATAAAATACTTATTGGGGGGGGGGGCGTAGCATTAAGATATTTACTTAAATCAAGATTCTTTTTATTTAAACCGAATATTGTTTACTTAAACCGAGTTAACGATATTCCGCGTATTAAGTTAAAACAAAAAAAAAATTTTGGTTTGTTTACTACATAGGAGTCAACTTTTTCTTCGACAAAGTTTTATGAAATTTATGTGAAGAGAACAAATTTTTCTCTTGAGTATATAATAATGAGCTCATTCGAAATTTGTGATGAGTATATATTTTAAGATTTTAAGATTATATATTATCAAAAATATATTTTTTATACTGTTGGAAAAAGAGAATATCTGAAAAGTAAAAAGAATATTTATTCGATGGATACTAGAGATGTGCGAATCAAAGGTTTTTAATATCGAATTGAATCGAATCTCAGATTTTGATTTTAAATTCGAATCGAATCGATGAAATTTCACCCGAATTGAATCGTTGAAAGAATTTTTAATTAACATAATCATTGAATTCAACATGAAAATAGTAATTTCAGTATGAGAGAGATAACATTGATCATGTGATATCAATTCATTTTAAGGTAAAAAATATATGATATATAATCAGTAAACGTATATAGAATATAATTCCAGCCTTGAAAGCTGCACAACGATACATATCGATCCGACAGTTGTCGGTAAGAGTTCATCTAAAAGCCATTATCTTCTTTTAATATTTTTGAAAAAAATCTTAATGTATAGCAAACTTCAAGTCATGCTAATTCCTGGTAAGACTGGATGTCTCTAATAGTTCTTTGTTAATGCTAATCTGCGTAATTCGTATCCGAATCTTTTCGATTCAAAATTTTCGAATTATCCGGATTCGAATCATAGGGATTCGAATTCGAATAGTTCACACATCTCTAATGGATACTAATAACATATTTACTTAAATCTACATTCTTCTGTTTAAATGGAACAAATAATAGCTTTCCTGTTTCATGAAAAACGACGGTGTTTTAGGAGAATATATACTTCCTCATTTAGAAGAATTTTGTTATCAATGTAAAACTATGTATATGTATTGGTACAAGTATGAATTCTTAGTATCCATTGAATAAATATCTCTTTTTTCTTAGATATTTTCTCTTTTAGTGTAGAATGACATTTTTCTGCGTGCACGTGCGCTAATCCGTTTGTAAATACATGCATGTATGTTAATGTTTCTGCGAATACGCAGTCCGCGAAGTGGCCATTCATTCTGTTCAATACATTTGGTCTGGCGACGTCGTTTGAAACAACAGAGCAAGAGATATTTATCAGCGAGAGTAAATGAAAGAAATACTCAACATTTCTTCGATATTAGATTGTTATTAAGATAATCGCCATCAGGAAAGAAAGGAAACGCCCAAATGCTGTCACGGATCAACGTTGAGTGCGAACATTTCGCTTCGTGATCTCGTTAAGATGATCGAGTACCGACGGCTTGCAAACCTCTCTCTCTCTCTTTATATGTATATTTTTTTTTACATTGATAAAAATTCTTTCAAATAAAAAAATCGACACTTTTCATGAAAGCAGGAAAGCTACTACTTGTTCCATTTAAACCAAAGAATTTAAATTTAAATAAATATGTTATTAGTACCCATCGCGAATAAATATGCTTTTTCAAATATTGTTTTTTTCGTACAATATACTGCTAAGATCGTCAGTTAACTTTCTTTTGAATAATGGTTATCTTTAACAAAAAATAAATGTTTAATATATAATTTAATTATATATTTATATAACATATAATCTTAAAGTATATTTATTACAAATTTTAAAAGAGCTCATTATCATACTCATTATACACTCAAGAGAAAAATTTGTTCTCTTTTACATGAATTCCACCTATATACATGTAAAGCAAGCACGCAATCACGCTGGCGCACAGGGCGTAATTAATGCACGTCACACTGCGCCAAGGTAAATCCCAAGCGACAGAGAAGCGCACACGACCGCGCGGCCCTACGTGGGTAGCATCACCTGAAGGTACCGCGGGGGTGTACAAGTAAAGCTTCGGAGAAAAGGGCCTCGAAATCGAGCCTCCACGTGTGCGTCGCACGCAGTTGCGTCACGGCCGACACCGTCGGTCGCGCGTCGCCAGAAGATTCCGGATGCTCTTCTACGGACGATGGGCGGCTCCGTGTAATTACCGCGGCTCGTTAATGCGAGTAATCCGGCGTCTCGTTACGAAATCTCGTCGACGTTCCATCCTGATATCGCGTGGGATGCACGCTCGTGCGTGCGCGGGAGCGTGAGAAGAGCGACGCACTATCGCACTTCGCGGACTTCGCGTCTCTGCATCTGTCTGTCTGGGTTTTGTGTGCGTGTACCGTATGTAGGTGTGTTGTCGCTTGATGCGAAATGATGTTAACGACACCGTCGAAATGTTAGGAGTAGCCTCATAAGTAATAAAATATTTTTAAATGTAACACATTTAAGGCGCAAAACTTGTCTATGGACTTTGTTTTGTTTTAATCGATGATATAATAAGTTGAGCTTATTTATACATAAAAGAAATAGCACAAAGAGGCAATACTTATCATAAATATTTATTACAAATAATTATACTATTTGCCTGTAATGGGTATTAATCGACGAAAAATTTTCTGCATTTAAATAAATATTACCTGTTTTAAGTACTTTATACGTTTATGTATTCGCAAACCTATCATAAGCATTAAATTTACTAAAAATTCTAAATATTGATAAGGTTAATATTTTAATCGAGAATATAAAATGATAGGACAAAAATGCGGTTTTCTTACTACATAGATTAGACGAATTTTTTCTCGGATAGTGTTTTATGACAAACTTGTAGAGAATAAATTTTTTTCTTTTTTTGGATATAGGATAATGAGCTTTTCTCAAATTTGCGATGGGTATAGCTGAAGATCAGGAAAAGATTCTATGTCGAAAATATCCTTACTTAAAAGAGAGAATCTAAATTAAGCGATCGCTTTTCTTAGCTTTCTACACTGAGAGAAAAATTATATTAAAATCAACAAATATTTCCTTGATGGGTGCCATTAACATATTTACTTAAATCTATATTCTCTTTATTTAAATCAAATATTGTTTAAATCAGGTAAATAATATTTTATTTAAATAAAGAGAATGTAGACTTAAGTAAATATGTTAATGGCACCCATCAAAGAAATATTTGTTAATTTTAATATAATTTTTCTCTCAGTGTAGGGTGATACTTTTCCGCCCGCGAATACGATTTTCTCGCGCTGTTATTGGATTTCAGCTTTGATATCGGCTCGCCGTCGATATTTCCCTTCGAATGCCGATCACGTGTTAATCACGCGGCTCGTAGCGCACCTCATTCGTTCATTTGTGCGTCCGCGACGCGCCACGTTACACGGTGGCACGTCGTGCAACATCCTCGGCCCGACGTCACGAGGGAGCACGTAGTACGCGCAGCTGCAGGTGCACGCACAGGTGTCTGTGCCGTTGCGAGCGACGCATGTGAAAGAGAGCGGTGCGCTCGCGGGGGCGGCAGCGGGGTGAGGGCCGAAGCGACGGGACGGGAGGCGGCAGAGCGAGTATGGAACGGCTGTAGTCACATGCCGGAAAATGTCAACCACGTGCATGTACACGAGGTGCTCGTCGTATAATCCGTCTTAACGTAACTGCGCCGACCACCGTCGTCGTCGTCGTCGTCGTCGTCGTCGTCGTCGTCGTCGTCGTCGTCGTCGTCGTCGTCGTCGTCGTAAGAGACGAAGCGATACGAAAATGCTGCCGGCGGTGTTCATGTAATTTCGCACGTTATCGCGGGATAACTATAGCTCTCGCGTCTCTTTTTTCGCGTTCCCACTCACAAGTAACACTACCCAAGTGCCACACGCCGATCTTCTTGAAACTTTGCACACATGTAGTAAATCGAAAAATATTAGACACGTATTTTTTTATTTTGGCTAACAAGGCATTTTAAAGTTAGAAAATGCATTCGAAAATTTAACATTTTATAGCACAATGATAACTAACGCTACTCCTGAATATCATTCTTTTACAGCTTTTACGACATTACTCTGTTATAATTTCATTGTCCGAATGTTTCTGAAGTCGCTAATTATGATTTTGATATTAGTTTTGCGAGATTCAAAATGGCGGACCGAAATCGCAGACATTTCAAAGACTTTATTCAAAGTCAGTTTCGAAGAAGTTTTTTAGACTCATGATTATGATTACAAACTAATGTCAAAATCATAATTAGCGATTTCAGAAACATTCAGACAATGAAATTATAATAATGTCGTAAAAGTTGTAAAAGAATGACGCTCAGGAGTAGCGTTAGTTATCATTGTGTTATAAAGTGTTAAATTCTCGAATGCGTTTTCTAACTTTAAAATGCCTTGTTAGCCAAAATAAAAAAATACGTGTCTAATGTTTTTCGATGTACTACATGTGTGTAAAGTTTCAAGAAGATCGGCGTGTGGCACTTGGGTAGTGTTACTTGTCAGATCGACGGATGTGTGGAGTGGACGACGAGTAGAATAGACCGATTTTGACCTAAAAAGTGTAAGTTGTACGTTCAATCTTGCGTTTTTTTTTGGATCGTTGAATAGCACTTTTATTTGTCTAAACCAATAGGAGAGTAATCAAAATTCGCTTTAAAGGATTCGAGATAAGAAGAAATACGTTAAAATATGTCAAAAATTTAACACAAGAATTTCTACACAAAAATTCATTTCAATATAAAAAATGTTTTTTATTGTGTTTAGTATATTAAAAAATTAACAAGAATTTGTACTTGGATCGATTTCAACACGAATACAAAATGATTTTTAATGTGTAATAATGAACAAACATGTTTCGATCGGAAAAAACAGAACTTTTGATTCTTATAACCGAATTTATTTCACAGGGATTAGAAATTTTGTTCGTTCATTGTCAGGTTAATTCAGTCAAACTTTTCTCCGTATACAATGATAAGAAGTAGAAATACGAGAAAAATGATTAGAATTTACTCAAAACAGTATTTTATATAAAATACAATATGAAAAAAATGTAACTTTTAAAAAAATTATATTGTTGCTGCCACAATATAACAAAAAATTTAGATTAATCTGTGCAAATGTAATGGTTAAAATTCAGTACAAAATATTTGCTTCATAAATGTAATTAAAAGAATTGCAAAGTCTCTATAAATTGATTGTCTCACGTGATGACACGACAGTGACATGGAAATTTATTTGCGCTTTTTTATCTCGCTTACTTCTCACATCTTCTGCTCGGATTCTAGGCTTTAATCGTATCACGTCGATTTTAAGCTTTCAAGAGTTCAGTGAAATGCCCTAAAATAGCAAGGCATTTATATTTGAGGATCTTATTTGGATATTGTTTATCGTGACTCTCTTTCCCCCTTCTTGACGGTTTGCTCCTGTTATCCGTCGCGAGTTTCGCGAGGAAGTCTCGTGCTATTCTTTGCGACGGAGATCAATCTCGCGTCGCAGTGTTCGGTTCACGAGCAATATCGACGGACTCGTCCTTGAACTCCCGCACGAGCGAGTGCGTTCAGTAACACAACGGTGATCCCATTCTGTCGCAATATCGTCGCGCGGAATCACGGGAACGGATCGGAACACGAGTGAGAAACCGTCGAGAAATATCGGCGAACCAAAATAGTAAAGTCGACGGGTAAAATAGAATCGCGTTGTACCTCCAGAGCGAGTCGCCCGTTTGATTAATTCTTCACCAAGCACGCGTCCGTCTTTTATCTGGGGACACGAGTTTCCGATGACTGACGCGCACAGCGAGCACCAATCGTCGTGGGAGAAAAGCCGATTTGTCCTTCGGTGTGTTTCACAGAAATTTCACCCGCGAGTCTGACTCTACTTGAACGCATTAAACATTATTTTAACAACTATTGCGTCGCTGTGAGTTGCACCGTGATGCCAGAAGATGCTACAGATGACGACGTTGTTTTCACATTGTCACTTGAGGTAATTGATAGATTGCGTTGGTCGCGTTTATGAACTTAACTTAATCCTCACATGACACACATTTTGGACACTTTACACTGAAAAAAATCTAAAAATTAACAAATATTTATTAGGATTATTGTGGTTGTACCATCAACATATTTACTTAAATAACAATTCTCTTCATTTAAACCGAGTATTGTTTACTCGGTTTAAGTAAACAATACTCGGTTTAAATGAAGAGAATTTTGATTTGAGTAAATATGTATTGATGGTACATCTAATAAATATTTGTTAATTTTTAAATATTAAATATAGATTCGTTGATTAGTCTTTGTTTAATAGTGCGCCAAAGTGAACACTGCGATGGGCCGCACCAACAAAGACTGAACTGAACAGTCTCATTGTTTCTCGCATCTTTTGACATGATTTCACCGCAATCTGAAGGACTTTTAGTACCGATTTATAAGCGTCGGTGAAACCTGTGTTTATTACTTCGCTCCAAAAACAAGAGAACAGTCAAAACAACGAACGCACATAGACCCTCGTGTCGTTCACTTTGGCGCACTGTCAAATAAAGACTAGCCGACACTCTGTACTGCTATACTTAATCTAATAAAGGCTAATAGCTCTGAAACACGGTAATAAAGACTTTGCCAAATTCGCGCTATTTCTGTATTACGCCACGTACTTTTTGAACAACTCACGTACCTTTAAACCTCATATTTCCGCACCGACTTTTAAACCGGAAGTCCTCATTCCATTAATTTGTAAATAATTCAAAATTAGGATAATTAAAAATAGGATGAAGTCAGTAATGAGCGCAATACGTCAGATTGAGAGGTTCAAATGGTTTGAAGATGCGCATTAAATAAATAAGTAAATTTTATTAGAAATAGAAACTGGTGTGATGCAACTGTCGTGCAAACGTGAGTCCAAATTCGATCCATTTATATATTACATCTCAAAAGTCAAACAGATTCGAATCTCTCGGCTTAATCCGATTCGAAAAAACTTTGTCTCTTTGTTAAACCTTGAATTCTTTGTTAAACCTTGAAAACAATGCAATAGAAGCTAAGTTAATAAAGTAGGTTTAATTCTAATGATACAATTCTTTTATTTTGACTCTAATAATATCCCAAATTTCCCTTTTTACTTTCTTCAGTTTCAAAATAAGTATTATAGGTTCCAGAATATGAAAGTAGATCTTGAACGGAATAGTGAAAATAGGAAAACTAGAAATAGGAGATCAATCAATTATTGTAGAAGGAGGAAATGAATTATCGTAGAATGTCAGTATCTCTATTACAAATATCTGTTACGAAAAATTCTACAGTATAATTTTGACTATAAAATTCTTGCCACGTAAAACGTTTACGAGTAAAATGAACAACCAATTGATTTGGTATTTTTTAGACATCTAACAAGAACTTGCTATTTTCCTTCTGATATTCCTTTCTACGAAAATTTAATAGAAAAATGACAAATCCATTGCAACATTGCTAACAGTGGAATCTTTACATCAGCTTACCGACGTTGTTTAATATTCATTCGACTCGTTTGCAAAAAAATTCGCACAACGGAATTATTAATGGAATTCGATTTGGATAGGTTAAATAGACTCAAAAGAGGTTGATATAGGTTTCAGAGTATCAAAATAAATGTTGGAAAGAGTAAGGCTGAAAGTAGGATCAAAATTTCGTCTCGGGGATCGCAATCTTGATGCGCAATGTCTCGGCTTAAAAGTTTGTAGCGCGATGCGCGCGATGTAGTGGTCGACGTTGTCGCAGGAAGGAACCAATGACGCGTGATAACACAACGGCGCTCGACCGCGATCGCTTAGCTCTACCTTCTCGAACAGCGCATCAATTATTACCGGTCGAATGAGACCCAATTGCTGATAGCTTATTAAGCGGATCACCGATGCTGGCGACCTTCCGACTGTCTCGGAGAAATTGCGGCGTATCTGTGCCACAGACCAGCGGGAAAGACTGCAGCGTGGTTCCCTTTAACTCCCCTCGCCCTCCGCGCGGACGTTAAAAATTCACGTGGAGCACCGACAACCCCTGAGCGAGCCGTCGGTGCCGCACGGCGAGGGAAACGGTGTCGCCGTGCAACTTTCATAAGCAACGACATTGCCGGGCTTATCAATAATGCGCGGCGCCTCGTGCTTTTCCCGTTCACTCTATTTACAGCGGAAAATCTATAACGGGGCAGGGAACACGCGGGGTTATTGACTGAAACATTCGTGTCGACGCGTCTTACGTAAGTGGCAGCGCGGGTATGCGACTAGAGCCGCGCGCGGGATGCGTTTAACCCTATGATGAGGAATGATAATACCCGCGGCGAACCTGACTTCTTCTTTGAGAGAGAGAGAGAGAGAGGGGGGGGGGATGTATGTCTTTCTGCCACAAACGCGACAGCAGAAGAGAGAAAAGCGTCTCATTTCGCTCGGTAATTAGCGTGGAGTTTAGCTAGGAGTCTCGCGGGGAAACAATAGAGAGAAAGAGAGAGTTAACACTAATTAGAGGAACACGAAGAGTCAAACATGTTGGTTTTCTCGCTGGTTGTGCACTGAAAAAGGATCGGGTGAAAAACTGAATCTCAGGGTTATATAATTCCGTTGTGCGAATTTTTTTGCAAACGAGTCGAATGAATATTAAACAACGTCGGTAAACTGATGTAAAGATTCCACTGTTAACAATGTTGCAATGGATTTGTCATTTTTCTATTAAATTTTCGTAGAAAGGAATATTTTCGTAGAAGGAAAATAGCAAGTTCTTGTTAGATGTCTAAAAAATACCAAATCAATTGGTTGTTCATTTTACTCGTATACGTGGCAAGAATTTTATAGTCAAAATTATACTGTAGAATTTTTTGTAACAGATATTTATAATAGAGATACTGACATTCTACAATAATTGATTACTCTTTCATTTCGTATGTATTATTTATTTTTCAGGAACTGAGATATGCTATTAAAAAATTGGTTATGTTTCGAGTGAAATTATGTATGTTAAATATTAACTATGTTCTTTGATAGATCCTATTGAATCCTTTACTACTAGAAACATGGTAATATTAGAAAGAACTTATATGAAAGAAAATAATATTCTTTCCGTGTAAAAATAATTCTTTGAAATTGAGTAATTTCCTTTTCTATTTCATTTGATAAACACAATAAACCTTTAGCACCAACTTAATACAAAATTTGGTCAATGATGAAGAATTAATGGGGTTGAAATACAATCTTATATATGATGTAGATTTCTTTTAATTATCAAAAGGGATTAATGTAATTATATAATATGAGTAATTTATGTTCTGAAAAGTTAAGTAAATTAGATGAAAAACACGTTCAATAATGTGGGACAGCTTTATGATCGCCCTATTGAACTTAATTTTCTTATACGCCCTATTGAACTTAATTGTCGTACACAAACAAGAGATTAAAAGAACATCGAAATTTTTCTTGAAACGAAAAATTTTCTGAACTTCTGCCAAAGCGTGCGAATAGGAAGAATAGATTAACTTTAGTTATTTCGACATGAATATTTTTTGCGTGCATGGCATGTGATTAATTCCATCCAATCGATCAATTTCGTTCACTTTTCAGTTTGGACGGTAGATCCTGCAAGGACGAGATCTACAGGATGAGCATCGGGGCCGCGTACAGCGAAGGCAATTTGAACTTCGCCACGGCCTCGGAGGATGACGAAGTTTACACGAAGAAGAAGGTCTCCAGGGTGAGTCATGAACTCGTTTTATGCGCGCGATCGGCTCCATAATAAGCGCTTTCGCGCCGATCGCGGTGAAGCATTGAGCAACACAGGTGGACACTTGGCATTTCATTTCTTTGTGTCCGTCCTCGTACCTGTGTCTGTCTGGTCCCGCGATCGTTTGGCGTTCTTTCACAACGTTCGCGTGCGAATGACTCCGTTTTTCTGAGAAAACGACGGCGGAGCGATGCGAATGAAGGAAGAATCCGATTAATAAGTGGATCCGAGCGTATTTAGAAAGTACATGGAGAAAATTTTATAGTAAAAATTACCATAGAACGTTGCAAGCGGAGGGCAGCTCGACATTCTGCAGTAATTTATTATCCTTTCATTTCATATATATGTGCAGTCGAAATTATATAATCTCATCTTTAACGGAATCCTCTTATACATGACTTCAAGAGAGAGGATTTTTCTAAAATTTAAAGGAAAATATTTCAGATACAATATTATTCCTTTTCACTAGAAATGCAATACTTGTTCTTAATAAAAATTTCTTTTAGCAAGAGCGTATTCTGCTTCAAGTAAACATATTTCTCTTGATTTAAAAGAAAAAAAATTAGAATAATATCTAGTAGATTTCCAGTTAATAGTTTACTTCAGTAGAATAAGAATACTCTTTTGATAAGAATTTATGCTTGGAATATGAAATTACAGAAAATAATATTTTAAATTAGTGTTCTTTTTTTTTGTTAAAATAGCTTTCTTTTCATTTTAGAGGAATTCTCTTCAGGTCGTATATAAGAGGATATTCGCTAAGAATAAAATCCTATTTTTTAAATTTATTCCTATACTACTAAATACACGGTAAAAAAGAATTTATATGAAAGAGAGAGAGAATTATAATATTAAAATATATTATAAAAAATATTTAATAATTATAGTAATATATATATATATATATATATATATATATATATATATAATTATATGAGATATATAATATAATAATATAATTTATATAAAATAAATAATTATATGTAATATACAGGGTGGGCTTTGTAACATTCTAGCCAGACTTTGACATTTTATAGGAAACTTAATTCTGAACAAAAAGTTTTAATAAATATTGTTTGAAAAATACTGCCTTAAAAAGTTAGCGTCCAAAAACTTCTGAAATCACGGTTTTTTTATATATTTTTGCAAATATCTGGGAAAATATACGTTTTTTTAACAAAAAATACTAAAACAAAATTTGTAGAGATTTAAATTATTTTGCAAATAAGATCAAAATGATTGTTATTAATACGTTCCATAGGTTTTAAGATAACCAATTTCAAATATACAAAAAAGTATTTTTTTTAGCTACCGATAATAGAGCTTTTTAAAAATACTCTTTATTTTAAGAGTTTATTTAATTCTAATAGTAATTACAATCTCTCAAGAGTAGTACGGAGTTCTGAACACTTACTGCGTAACTAAACATTACCCATACTCATGTTATCTAGGAATGTCTACATTTTTAAGGAAAAATTGTTCGATCTACATGTTTATAGGAAACTCTTTTTTCAGAATTAAATTTTCTATAAAATCTCAAAGTCTGGCCGAAACGTTCGGACTGTATAAAAAAATTAAGGTACAATATTAGAACCGTAAAAAAGAACAATATACACTCTCTCCGTGTAGAATCGAGTCTACCCTCTTCCTTCGCGTTGACTCTCGATTCGCGCGACCTGGGCGCTTTTCACGGCTGCCAAGAGGCGGCCGGAAGAACACGCGCTCCGAAATCAGAGCACGAGAAACCGCGGGGCGCGCGATATTTAGGCCGTCGCAGAGAAAGGTTTTCCGTGTTGTCGAATCAGCGCGGTGACGCAACGACCTGTCGCGACGAGGACGGCAATCATGTCGCGTCCCGAAACGACGGCGATTGTGACACAGAGAGCGGTCGGGGATACACACGCGCGCGCGCGCTACTACGTCGTAGACATCGGTATGCCAAATTCTTATCATCCGGTCACCAAAGTGTCCCGCGGCCGGGTTAACCCGTTTAATCTCGTATCGCTCGCGTTAGAAAGAAAGAGAAAAAGGAAAATCTTGAAACATCTTGGTCTTCTATCTTATCTTCTCTTCTCCGCGGTGTTTACTCGACAACGATTGACTGCCGCTCTGATTCTCATTGATTATTTCAAAGTTCGACTAGAGTTCGAGTCCAGCGGTATAATATCAGCGATACGATAAATAAATGCAACACGTGACGCACATATATGTATACATCGGTCGGCTCGTGTCATTAACTCGCTGTGAGTCGTATATTTAATCGGTTAACTTTTCTACGTCTCGTACAGTGTGAGGCAATAACCATTACGATCTTGAATATTTTCGAAGCATAACAATAGCAGACAAATTTATTCAACAGGAATTATATATGGTACAGAAACGGTTGTCTCATGGCGGTGTTGCCTTTTCCCTATGTGGAATAGCTTTGAAAATCTGAGTCATTTTGTAAGTGCGTTATAACGAGCTTTTCTAAAATTTTATATTAGTACATTGCAGAACTATTATGAAGAAAATATTTTTTGGTGAAGACAACTTTAAAAAAAACTGAAAGTAAAAACTGAGTAATCTTCGCTTTTTTTAGCTTTTTCTAGCAGTGGAATGACATTTTTCTCCGTGTGGAGTATCCGCTTTATAGTCTTTGATTTCGGGGATATTCAAAGCGATAATAATTATTGCCTCACTGGGTTTATCTAAATTAACTTTACGTGGCGGTATCACAGCATCGCTCATCGCTGATCCCCTCTGCGTGGCGATCAACACGTTAATTACGTATAAAGGTGACGATAAGGTGGATAACGCGCGCCGTCGAGTCGCGGATGTTGTAAACGTGATTGCGCGTGCGTGTCGATAGGAAAACGGAAAAGCGGGATTAAGATTGAAGCACGTTTTATCGTGGCGATAAACGAGCCGCGGATGTTTGCATAAATGTACATTTCGATTTTGCCGGGTTTTGCGTGCGGTTCTCTATTAAAATATGCGTATATATTTAAGAGTAAACATGTGCGGTCTCTGTGTATATCGCATCTCGATATACGCGCCTATAACGATGCGAATCGCGCCGCGCTGCGCGAGACAAGAACCACGTCGTATTTCATTATCTACACCGTATTTATAGCCTGCTCTTTTTATAGTAGTGATAAGCGTGGCTGGGAATAATGGCTGACGTGATATTCCTGCCACTACTTATGGCATATGGATTTCTAAAAAATATATGTATGTGTGTGTGTGTGTGCGTGCATATACAGAGTACCCCAGACAACCTACAAAGCTCTCGTGGAAGCATAGTACGTGTTACGGTGAACACAAAAGTCCTATATTGTTTTGCAATATTCGCAATAATTAGTAAGATATTAATTAAAGAAGATTTATGAATGATCACGCCAGGTATGGGCTGTGGTGGCGACATCTGTCATTGTCTGTTTGTAAGTCAAACTGAATAAAAAAGTCCTCCACCATTTTCCTAATAACTTTATAGATTTTTAGTTATTAATTAGAAAACATTAATATATTATCGCGAGCAGCCATCCGCCAATTTTTTCTTAATTAATAATAAAAAATCTACATAGTTATTAGGAAAATGGTAGAAATTTTTTGTTTAGCTTAATGTACAAGTACACGACAAGCAGACGTCGCCACTACAGCTCATTTACCATATCTCGCGTGATCACTCACAAATCTTCTTTAATTAATATCTCATTAATTATTGCGAATATCACAAAATGACTTTTATGTTCACTTCAATCCGTATACTATGTCTTCACGAGAACTTCGGAAATTCTGTTCTGGCTGTTCATCCTGTATACGTGTAGTGGCTCCGTACGCGTTGAGTGTTATATTTCCGCCTCGAGATTCCAAGTAACAACAACGATCAGCAGCGTATTATGCACACACGCGCGGTCTGGCATACAGTGTGCTTCGAATTCACGCTACAATAGCGTGACGTTCTACATATCGTGACGTTATAACAACACACAAGGTGTATAAGATGTTAAGAGAGTCGACGCCAAACTTCCGCAGCACGTGGTACTTACTTAAAATAAATTGAAAAGAATATTCCGTCTTATAGATGTGTGAAAGAGGATTCCGCTAAGAATAAAATTATATATTTTTGGCTGATGTTCAGTGTTATTCAGAAAGTATTATTTCACCGATTATTATGTCTCATGATTCCGAAAGGAATGATTTTTGAACTCGTGTTTATTAAGAGTTTCTCTTTCCTTTCGTTTCGTTGTCCTACGCACTCCTGAAGTTCGACGTAACTTTTCCCGACACCTTGTATAACAAAAAGAAACGTGTTCCGGCCGTTTAAAATCAGCGGGGACTTTATCCTGGCCGGCGATCGCGGCCCGTGAAATTTCTCTTCTTTCCTTCGTGTCGCAATCGCCCACTCTTACCGAGCCGGCGAGACACTTGTCCAGGAAGTAGTTCGGAAGCGTGACTACGTGTCCTCCTCGAGATGCTGCGATGATTACGCGGGTCCGGGTTAGAAAGGTACGGTCCGTCCGTCTCTTCTTCTCGCGGTGACGCTTGACGTACAATTCACGACGTCCAAGAGAAAGCAGCGTGTTCCGGGAATGAGTAAAATTTGTCGCGCGAATAGGAAAGACTGTTCGCTCGCTCTCTCGTTCGTCTCGACTATTCTTATTTCGCGTATTCTCGACGCATGCTCGAGGAACTTTTCATCTTTCACAGCTATCGTGATTCTACGACGAAAATGTGAATGAATATCCCGGCTTACATTCGTCATAACGGCATCCTTTCTAAATAAAAGACTCTCGCGTGTTAGAAAACAAACTATTTGTCGAATGATTTAATTCTATTTTTAATAAATTGCCACCAACCCGTCTAATGACTGCCGCATATACAATTAAGAAACAAGCTATATGAATAATTTAACTTTATTTCTATCAAATTCTCGCGTATACGATTAAAAAACAACTATATAAATGATTTAATTTTATTTTTAACAA